TGACATGTCTGGGTACATGGTTTGCATTCCTTCTGTTCAGCCATCAGTCTAGATAATATTAAATTTATTCATTAGTGCTAAATTTGCACAATATCTGTTTAGACACTCCTGTGTCTACAGTTTTCACATTGTATCTATCCATCCATCTTTCTTCATCTACTGTCTGAGCACTAAAGTGGCAGACTGGAAATCAAGAATCCCAGGTTCTATATTCCTGATTCTGCCATTGATAAATTTTGACCTTGGGGAAGTCACAGTTCTCCTATGCCAAAGGTCATTCTTCCACTGAACAGGAAGAACATTTATTAATATTTATGCAGTCCTTCAAAGATCTTTGGATAAAAGGTGCTACATAAGTGCAGATTTGTATACCTTTTTCTGCTTTCATGCACCTTCAAAATGTAATATACTAAAATGCTGTGATTTTGTAACATAATACAATTGTACTTTAGCACCCAATGGCAATGCTTTAGAAAAAGACATAACTCATCTTCCCTAGTTGTTCAGTACTGTATCACAGGAGATAATTTCTTCCTAATTCTAGCAGTGATCATTTGCAGTCTTCTGAGGACTGAAGATAGTATAATTGCATCAGTTACACATTACAGTTATTTTGACTGAAATACTATAATTGATACTGATTTTTTTTTCACATATATATATTAGTTTTCCTATAAAGATAGTATAACCTTAAATGCAAACCCCTGGGGTGAAATTCTGCCCAGCCAAAGTCAATAGCAACAATTTCATCACTGGTCTCCAGCTTTTTCGTTGTCTCCATTTCTTTAATTAATATAGATAACACTCCAGATGAGATATCCTTAGCCTCCTGATCACTTTCCAGCCATCTCCTGTAACTGTTCCAGAGTTCAGAGAGCTGGGAGCCTTTCATTAAAAAGATTCTAGAAGGCATTCTTACGTTTCTCTACCATGCCAGAAACCAAGCAAACAAGGCTGCAGTCCTAAATATTTCCATTTGAGACTAGGCAGTCATGTTCATGCAGAGTCTTTAATTCTTTGATGAGTAATTCTCTGAAATGTTCATTTTATATAAATGAAATGCATGATTCAGTGATTCTTCATTAAGTGTTTGTTCCTGGTATCTCACAGTACAAAAATCAGATAATTCACAAGAAATAAGAGAGTCAATGTATTTAGGCTCTTTCCATTTGTGAAATACCTATGAGCAGATAAGAGATTTCCTCAATTGACATACTATATGAAGTCAGCTGAGGACTACCTTCTTGAATGTTTTACTGTACATACTGACTGAACAGAAACATCCAGAAATCAAGCTGTGCAGCTTAGATGTGACTGGTTAGATTAATTCATATGGCATAATTTCTCATTGTTTCTGTTTTCTATGAGGATGTGTGCCCAAGCATGTCTGGCACAAATACTTGGATGGGAGAATTTAAAATTAATTCCCTGTGAATACTGAAGAGTACAGTTTTGAAATTTGCTTTCTACAAATATTTGTGCCAGTAAAACTAATCAGTTGAATGTTCACAGAAAGCAAATACAAAAGGGGCACAAGGCTGAATGAACCATATTCATGTGACAATGAATCATATTCAATATGACAACCACACAAAAGAAATTCCAACAAAGCAAGTGTAAAATTGTTACGTGCCTTAAGCATAAACATTTAGCAACACTTTTGAGGGAACAGGCTTGGAATAAATAAGCATGAGATTTACCCAAATCTTTACCCAAAATTTCAAACGGAAGAGCAGTAGCTTCCATAGGCCTGGATAAGTTTTTTCTCTCTCTACTTTTTCACATCTACAATTTTGAATTGTTAGTGGACTGAAAATAACAATTCATAGATTCATAGACATTAGGGGCTGGAAGGGACCTCATGAGATTGAGTCCAGCCCCTCCCTCCCCTCCCCCCCCTGCCTATAGGCAGGAAGTCAACTGGGATCAAGTGATCCCAGCAAAAAAAATATCCAGATGTTTTTTGAAAGAGTCCAGAGTAGGTGCTTGCAACACCTCTGGGGGGAGTCTGTTCCAGATCCTGGACACTTGCACTGTAAATAACGTTTTTCTTATGTCTAGTCTAAATGATGGGATAGGCTTATGAAGATGATCCTCTTGGTATTTCTGATCTCCCTGGGCACATCTACATGAGACATTTACTGAGGAGTTGACTTATTAGCTGTCACACACCAACACATGCAGCACTATTAGGCTGGAGTAGATTAATTAACACTACAGCAGGATAGTATTTATAGGAACAGATGCTGCCCAGCTGCCTGGGGCATGAAGGTGTTACAGTGTAGGGGCTGCCTGTTGGCTAGCCTCACGCTGAAGCACCCACATTCCCCAGCCAGCCCCTCAGCAGCACACTGACCTGGGGGGAGCAGCCCTGGACTGACCAAGCTCAACCTGCTGCACTCCTGGGCACACATGCAGATGTGGCACCTGGGAGCAATAAACTCCAGAGCAACAACCACTGGAGTTTGTGTATGTACCCTAATAGCATATGTAGATGCACCCACTGAAAACAAAAGGTACCAGAAATGTGACCAGTTTCCATGTTTAGACTAAGCCTAAGTACAGACAGTCAAAAACCATGAGAAGGAATTGATCCAATCTTTGCAGGTTTCTTTAAGCTGCCTCGATTGGATCATTATGGAACAGAACTTATATTCACTCTTCAGTTGGGGAATACAGGCAGATGCCTGCGCTGGCTGAGGCCAGAAGGTGGGGGTGGAGGGTGGGGAGGGAGGCTTGCACACTTCCCTATATGCTGGATGTTACCGAGGGCACCTGAGCACAGCTGAGTAAGGCCATCCTTCATTTGCTGCCTGGCGTATGCCTCCAACCCTCTGATGTCCCTCTCCCCTTGCAAGGGGAGGGGGCAAAGTCCTGGCCCCCAAAGCTGGGGTCTACCCAGCTGGGGGGAGTCATGTGCCACAGGGGGGTTTCCCCATCCCTGCACAGCTGGGCTGTCTGCACAGTCCTGCCCCCTGTGAGTCTGCCTTTGATCCACAGGGGGAAGTGGGAATGAAGTCCCTCACCCCAGTCTCAGCTCTCAGCCCAGCTGAGGTCTTCCCAGCAGGGGGAGGAGCTGC